TCTAGCACAGGGTCATTTCCCAAAGGCCACAGCTTCTTGGTCTCCAGCCAAGTGCAGCAATCACAGGGCACCACTTCCCCGGCCAATTTCAAAGCACTGCTTACTGCTGGGAATGCATGTTTGAACAAAGCCTTTATTCTGTATTCCAACAGCAGGACTGGAATTTGAAAAGCTTCATTTTCAAGACTGGCTGCTTTTGATCTGTCTAACCTGGAACTTACATTTTCAAGTCAAACAGAATTATTTAAACAAAACATTTCAGTGATAAGGACAAAATGTTTTGATTTTATTTTTTTATCTCCCCACCCCTACCCCCCAACACTACACAATATTCCTACTCAAAATGTAAGGACTATTCTGCGGCCGACTCTTAAAATAACAGCCTTTCTCAGCTTCCATTCCCCAGGCTTTTGTTTCTTCAGCCTGTGTCTCTACCTAGGTTTGCTTGTGTACAGGCCATGTGAGGCGCTAATTTTACCTCAGACTGATCTACAGCAACCGACTACTCCACGAGCAAAGCTTCCCTCTTCTGACTCCAGCTTCCACGTTCGGCACAACCAATGTTTTTTTTATTAATTATACTTTACTTTGATTTTGTTCCCCCCATCCGCAACTTGTCTGCCTTTCTTCTAGGATTTCAACCTGTGTCTGATTTAATCTTCTATTCTCCTTAGCTGATGTTCTTCCCAGGCCCCAGCCTGCATTTATTTCTTTTTATCATATTCCTCCTGCCTTGGTTTATCTGTTATTGAAGTCAGAATGTTGATCAGTATTTGTATTCCTTGGAAATAACACCTGCTCTGTACTCTCCTAGACAGAGAGTGTCTCTCTGGGTCATAGCAAAGCCCAACTCTGCATGCTGTGGAGCACAGAAGTGTCAGGGTAATTGCAATTAATGCCTTCGAGTTGGCCTACCAGCCACTGAAAGCCAATATGAAATGGAAGAGCTACTTTTTCACAACCATGAAAGCAAATGGAGAAAGCAAGACCATATATCCCCAGATATTAAAGAGGTACAACAGTTGAAAAATAAAGCTCAGATACGGTCTGGTCCAAGCGTGTTTCAGGTGATGAAATAACAAATGAAAATAATATGGAAGTTCTCTCTAGAAAGAGTAAGCTAAGTTTCTATCAAAATGATTCTACACAAATAAAAAGGTCTAGATTGAGGAGAGCTAGCAGAATGCATCTTATGGTAGGAAGGACAGTTGGCCTTGCCTGGTGCTGGGGTGGGAAAGGATGCTGACACAGTAAAACGTCATAAAATGACTTCACTTTTTAATTCTGGACCTTTGCTCAAGCTTACTGAGCAGAATCACTAATTCAGAACCAAAGAGAAACAGGGTGTTTGGATAGTATTTAATTTAACTACAGAATTCTCCAATCCTAAAAAATGACACCACTGTGAAAAGAGCATCTTGAATGCAGGGAATATTCCATTTTCAGGCCCAGGGAATGGGCAGATCAATGCCATCGACTCAGTTGGCTTTTCTGCAAGGAGAGCAGCAGCCAGCTCTCTCTCTCACGTCCGAGGTTCTGCTCCTCCAGGGCTCCTCCCTGCCAGAGGTGAGATGACTGCAGCTCTCACCTCTGCCTCTGGGAGGATTGTCAGGGAAGGGAGTTCTATCATCTGCTTCGCTGATGAGGCCAGGCTTCTCATAAGGCAAATAGAACATACTCCTCAAAGACAGGCTCACTAAATCCTGAGAGAATGCTTAAAGCTCAGGAGATGGCCTGCAGGCTGCCAAGTAAACTGTTGGGGCTGGAAGCAATAATCAGGAAAAGAGAAAGACTTTGAAAAAGTGTTGTCAACTCCAATTTTAAAATAAACCATCTAGACTAGATATACTTTGGCTGGCAGCCTCCCCCAAGGGAAGCACACTGAAGGCCAAACCACTCAGCCATGGGCAACACATGGCAGTGTTATCTTTGACCTATTCAGAACCACAACAGTCTCTCCTAAATTAACTGTAAGAAGCACATCTACTACCTTTAGCCACTGAGTGAACTTATATGCAACTAGTAAATGCTCAACTGGCCAGGTGTGGGTCATTTAGAGGCCTAATTGACAATTCCATGGGGGTTTGGAATGAAATTAAGTTACCACTTTATAAAAGATAAAGCTACTGCAAATTGTTTCATTAGAATTTGTTTGGGAGGCCAAGGGAAGTATTTATTCACCCAGTTTGACCTTGAATGCAAAACTATTTACACAATCATGGAAGAAAAAATAGGGACAATGCAAGGGGCCCTAATACATGGCATAAATACAATACAAACCATAACTAACAATGCACAAACATCAGAAGATAAACTAGATGACTGGGAGCTCCTAAAAATTAAACACTTATGCTCATCAAAAGACTATACCAAAAGTATAAAAAGAGAAACTACAGACTGAGAAAAAAAAATTGGCTATGACATATCCTACAAGGGTCTAATTTCTAAAATCTATAAAATACTTCAACACCTCAACAGCAAAACGACAAATAACCCAATTAAAAAATGGGCAAAGGATATGAACAGACACTTCAACAAAGAAGACATTCAGGCAGCTAACAGATACATGAGGAAATGCTTGTGATCATTAGCCATTAGAGGAAATGCAAATCAAAACTACAATGAGATACCATCTCACCACAACATTACTGGGACTAATCAAAAAAACAGAAAATAACAAATGTTGGAGAAGTAGCAGTGAGACTAGAACTTTTACGCACTGCTAGTGGGAATGTAAAATGGTACAATCACTATGGAAAACAATATGGCACCTCCTTAAAAAGCTAGAAATAGGAACAGCATACTATCCAGCAGTTTCACTCCTAGGACTATATCCTAGAGAAGTAAGAGGCATCACATGAATAGACATATGCACACCCATGTTCACTGGAGCATTATTCACAATAGCAAAAAGATGGAAACAACCTATGTGTCCATCAACAGATGAATGGATAAACTATGGTACATACACACAATGGAATACAATGCAACAATAAAGAACAATGATGAATCTGGGAAACATCTCACAACATGGATGAATCTAGAGGGCATTACGCTGAGTGAAATAAGTCAATTACAAAAGGACAAATATTGTATAAAACCACTATTATAAAAATTCAAAAAAAGGTTTACACACAGAAAAAAACAATTTCTGATAGTTACAAGGGAGAGGAGGGGTGAGGAGGAGAAATCATTAACTAGATAGTAGACAACTGTTAACTTTGGTGAAGGGAAAGACAACACACAATATAGGGGAAGTCAGCACAACCTGACCAAGGCGAAGTCATAGAAACTTCCTAGACACATTCAAACACCTTGAGGGACCAAGTTACTGGGGCTGAGGGCTGGGGACCATAGTCTTGGGGGACATCTAGGTCAATGGCATAACACAGTTCATAAAGAAAATGTTCTACATTCTACTTTGGTGAGCAGTGTCTGGGGTCTTAAAAGCTTGCAAGCAGTCATCTAAGATAAATCTATTGGTCCCATCCCGTCTGGAGCAAAGGAGATTAAAAAAAAAATCAAAGACACAAGGAAAAACATTAGTCCAAAGGATTAAGGGACCACGTGATCCACAGCCTCTACCAGCCTGAGCCCAGAAGAACTAGATGGTGTCCAGCTACCACCACCAACTGCTCTGACAGGGATCACAATAAAGGGTCCCAGACAGAGCAGGAAAAAAATGTAGAGCAAAATTCAAATTCACAAAAAAAGACTAGGCTTATTGGTCTGACAGAGACTGGAGGAACCCCCGAGACTATGACCACTGGACACCCTACTAACTCAGAACTGAAGCCACTCCTGAATATCAGCTTTCAGCCAAGATTAGACAGGCCTATAAAACAAACAATAAAACACGTGAGGAACATGCTTCTTGGTTCAATCAAGTATGTGAGACCAAATGGGTAACAAACTGCCCAACAGCAAAGATAAGCAGGCAGGAGGGGACAGGAAAACCCGACGAATGGACACGGAGAACCTGGGATGGAAAGTGAAAGGGGGAGAATGCCGACACATTGTGAGGATTGCAACCAACATCACGAAACAATTTGTGTACAAATCTTTGAATAAGAAAGTAATTTATGCTGTAAACTTTCACCTAAAACACACACACACACACACACACACACACACACACACACACACACAAACTCAAAAAACTATTTACCCAGGTGGAAAGAAGATACTTGTAATACTCAGTGTAATGATGTTTTTTCCCATGTCCACCCTCATGACCTTCCCCAAAGATGTGTGCCTACCTTTGTGGCAGCAGACTAAGTTTATGATTTCCATAAGGCTTTAGAGAACCGTACTATATTCACCTCTTGTTAACATAAGAATTAACTTGCATGAGCAACATCTGTCTTTTATTGATTCAATCAATACATTGGGAATTTAGCAGCAAGTTAATAGCAAGTAGTTACAAAATCTCCTATCTCTACACTTTTAAAATAAGTTGTCTAAAGCAATCTATAGCAACCTAAAATCACAAGAACACATGTGAATGACGGAAGCACTTCTGTTATAATGCCTATGGCAAGTTTATTAGCAATTTCCTAACAAAGTCTTCTAGTGCAAAGTGCACATAATTATTTGGAACCTCCATTACTATATTTGGCCTATCATTTTCCCCTATAACTATCTGTGACTAAACATAAGAATGTGAAGTGAAACTAAGCAAGTATGCCCCAAAGGCTTCCCAACTGGCCCTGCTGCCTTGAGGGCTATCCAGTCTAAACAACCCTTGTATACATCTTAAGTTGATTTCAGCCACAGACCACCATGGAGCCTACTGATGGCTGTTCTTTAACATCATATGCAGCTCGTGCTGCTTTGAGATAACTAGCTTCATTTTTAAACTGATTCGAACACGTGACAGGGCTCAGCGGAGCTAAAAGGCTAGGGGCTCGGTATAGTCCTATCCTTTTCCCCCCCATCTTCTCATTTCAGCACTAGAAACAGCAGCCTTGTTCTTGTACTATTCCGTGTTGGAGGAAATCTTAGAGTTTCTTTTTGGTTCCAGACAGGCCAATGGATTTATTAGTGAATTTGCCTGCTATCTGTTGGCTTGAAGTTATAGGGGCTTTCTCTAGTTCCTCCTTGAGTCCAACTGGAAGAAGTCTGCTAGATGTGGTACCTGAAGAGAGCGTGTCCAAACTGTCCATATTTGCTTTCTCACTGGTCACAGGAAGTATCTTTTCACAAGCAGTGAGCTAGAAATAAAAGAGAAGGCCTGGATGAATTCTCAGACACAAAGCAATACAGCAATTCAAGGAAGCAAGAAACCACAAAGTTGCCCAGAATTTGCAAGATGGAAACTTTTCCAGATATGGAACATAAAGTAGTCACATTATAAAATTATTATTAAGTGACAAATAAAGTTCCTTTCGCACACTCAAGAAAATGGAATTATTTAGTGTTTGATGTAGGGCAAACTGTATAGGCTCAATTTCAAATCCTCTGCCACGTAAAAGGAAAGTAAATGGTAACACTTGCATAGGAAAGTCCAGTTGGACTTAATTGTACTCATCTCATTTCATCTTTACAGACTTCTAAACAAGCTTTGACACTTGTACAATTACCCTGACAAGTACAGCATGATCATTCTTTCTAACCTGGGTACAAAGCTGCTGCATACGGCCCACCCAATACGTTCTCATTGTTTTCCTGGCATTAATTCCAGGGACTGGATTCTAATCCCAGTCACACGACTTGGGCAGGTATGTAGACCTCTGGGAGTCTCGAATTCCTCACTGTTAAATGGGGAAAACAGTATTTGCACTGTTTAATCCATGAGCTTACTACAAGAATGAAGGTAGTGGCCAGGAAAGTACTGTGTGAGCTTTAAAGCACAAAACAAGTCGAAGAGATTTTAATAGGCAATTGTATTTTCTCAGGTCACCTTCCCTAACCCTGATGTCATGAGGGAAGCAGAGTTCATTTTGACCTTAGACCCATTTTAAAAGTGATCACTTCTAATTAAATTCAGCTGAGCACAGGGTTGTACCAGAGCAGAGAATATATGAGGAGACCTACACAAGCAGGGCAGGAGCCAGGATGTGGGGGTATAGCGTCGGCAAGCTCTCATTTAGGCAGCTCTGTGAACAGCCTCACAAGTTTAATACTCTGGTTACCTGAGAGTCATGAAACATGCGCGTTAATAATTTTCAAAGAACGTGAAAGGATTACATGTGACACAAAACAAATGAACACGGTGCTTCTTTGATCATTCAAGTGCTCGTTGATAAAAGTGACCACGTTTTATACACAGTAGTAAGAACTTCGTATATAATTTGTTCAAGGAATAAATGACCTCCCAGGACTGCAGCAAAACTTCAGGTAATTTAGGCTTTGTGGTACCTGTATTACAAGAGAGAATTTACCTGACATTTGTTTGCTTATTGCAGACAGCCCTTAAATATGTGCCTCTTCAGAAGAACATCACTTATGTCTGACTTTATAACCAAAAAAAACAAAAAAAAAACAAAAAAAACCCTCAAGTCCATTGCCATTGAGTTGATTCCAACTCATAGTGATCCTATAGAACAGAGTAGAATTGCCCCATACAGCTTCCAAGGGACGGCTGGTGGATTTGAACTCGCGACCTATTGGTTAGCAGCCATAGCTCTTAACCACTGCACCACCAAGGCCCCATGACTTTATAACAGTGCATGCTAATTCTTGAGCTGGTAATATTTAAAAATCATTTTGTACATTGAAAATCAATTTGTATAAATTTTGAAATGTAAAAAAGGTTCTTTTCTCTGTAGATTTTTTTTCCACAAGGAAATTTCTGGGTTGCTTCTCTTTGTACTCTTTCAAGAAGTAGAAAATATTTACAGTTATTTAGCATTCACTGATGCAGTTGTATTCTCTCATTGAAGACTCCTTATGTTCAGCTTGTTGTTGTTGTTAGGTGCCATCAAGTTGGTCCTGACTCATAGCGACTCTACGAACAACAGAACGAAACACTGCCCAGTCCTGCGCCATCCTCACAATCTTGTTGTGCTTGAGCCCACTGTTGCAGCCACTGTGTCAATCCATCTTGAGGGTCTTTCTGTTTTTCACTGACCCACTATTTTACCAAGCATGATGTCCTTCTCCAGGGACTGATCCTTCCTGATAACACGTCCAAAGTATGTGACACATACATCAAGTAAGCCATCCTTGCTTCTAAGGAGCATTCTTGCACTTCTTCCAAGACAGATTTGTTCATTCTTTTGGCAGTCCATGGTATATTCAATATTTCTCACCAACACCACAATTCAAAGGCATTAATTCTTCTTCGGTCTTCCTTATTCGTTGTCCAGCTTTCGCATGCATATGAAGTGACTGAAAACACCATGGCTTGAGTCAGGCACACCTCAGTCTTCAAGATGACATCTTTGCTTTTTAACACTTTAAAGAAGTCTTTTGAAGCAGATTTGTCTGATGCAATGCATCTGTTGATTTCTTGACTGATGCTTCCATGGGTGTTGATTGTGTTAGTTTAGGTACGTAGTGTGTTTCTAGAAATTTGTCCATTTCCTCTAGGTTTTCAAATTTGTTAGAGTACAATTTTTCATAGTATTCTGTTATGATTCTTTTAATTTCAGTTGGGTCTGTTGTGATATCACGCATCTCATTTCTTATTCGGGTTATTTGCTTCCTCTCCTGTTTTTCTTTTGTCATTTGGTCAATGGTTTATCAATTTTGTTGATCTTTTCAAAGAACCAGCTTTTGGTCTTGTTAACTCTTTCAATTGTTTTTCTATTCTCTATTTCATTTCATGCTGCTCTAATTCTTATTATTTCCTTTCTTCTGGCACCCAAGGGCTTGTTCCAGTTGTAGGGTTAATGTTTTGATTTTGGCCCTTTCTTCTTTTTGGGTGTGTGCATTTATTGCTATAAATTGACCTCTGAGCACTGCTTTTGTTGTGTCCCAGAAGTTCTGGTAGGATGTGTTTTCATTCTCATTTGATTCTGTGAATTTCTTTTTTCTGCCCTTGATTTCTTCTATAACCCAGTAGTTTTTGAGCAAGGTGTTGTTCAGTTTCCATGTGTTTGATTTGTTTCCCTGCTTTGTCTGTTATTGATTTCTACTTTTATGGCTTTGTGGTCAGAAAAGATGCTTTGTAATATTTCAGTGCTTTGGATTCTGTTAAGGCTTGCTTTATGGCCTAATATGTGGTCTACTCTGGAGAATGGTCCATGTGTGTTGGAAAAGAAAGTATACTTGGCTGTTGTTAGGTGAAGTGTTCTGTATATGTCTATGAGATCAAGTTGGTTGACTGTGGCATTTAGATCTTCCGTGTCTTTACTGGCCTTCTTTCTGGATGTTCTGTCCTTCACCGAAAGTGGAGTGTCAAAGTTCCCTACTATTACTGTGGAGCTGTCTATTTCTCTTTTCAATGCTGTTAGAGTTTATGTATTTAGGAGCCCTATTGTTGAGTGTGTAAATATTTATTATGGTTATGTCCTCCTTATGTACTGACCCTTTAATCATTATATAGTGTCCTTCTTTATCCTTTGCGGTTGATTTTACTTTAAAGTCTATTTTGTCAGAGATTAATATTGCCACTCCTGCTATTTTTTTATTTTTGTTTGCTTGATACATATTTTTCCATCCTTTGAGTTTTACTTTGTGTCTTTAGGTCTAAGATGTGTCTCTTGTAGACAGCACATAGATGGATCGGGTTTTTTATCCATTCTGCCACTCTCTGTCTCTTTATTGGTGCATTTAGTCCATTTACATTCAGCGTAATTATCAATTGGTATGAGTTTAGTTGCTGTCATTTTCATGTTTTTGTGTCTGTGTGTGTTGTTGACAGTTTCTTTGTTCCACTTAATTTTCTGTGCTGAGTCGTTTTTCTTCAAGTATTTTCTTTCCATACTTTTTGTTGTTGTTGATTTTGTATTTGCTGAGTCTTTATGTTTTCCTGTTTTTTATTTTGATGTGTAGGACTATTAGTTTCCTTTGTGGTTACCTTAATATTTACCTCTATTTTTCTAAGTTTAAACCACTCTTTTATTTCTTTATATTGCCTTGACTTCCTCTCCATATGAAAGATTTATGACTACATTATTTAGTCCCTCTTTTTTATTCTAATGTTGTCATTTTTTACATACTGACATCTGTTTCCCTATTTTCAGTGTTTTAGCTTTGATTTATTTTTGTGACTTCCCTATCTGGGTTGATATCTGGTTGTTCTGTCCTGTGTTCTAGTCTTGGGTTGTTATCTGATGTTATTGATTTTCTAACCAGAGGACTCCCTTTAAGTATTTCTTGTAATTTTGGTTTGTTATTTACAAATTCCCTAAACTTCTGTTTATCTGGAAATACCCTAATTTCGCCATCATATTTGAGAGACAGTTTTCCTGGATACATAATTCTTGGTAGGCAAACTTTTTTCCTTCAAGGCTTTATATATGTCATCCCATTGCCTTCTTGCCTGCATGGTTTCTGCTGAGTAGTCCAAGCTTAATCTTATTGACTGTCCTTTGCAGACGATTTTTCATTTATCCCTAGCCTCTCTTAAAATTCTCTCTTCATCTTTGATTTTGGCAAGCTTGATTATGTCTTGGTGACTCTCTTTTGGGATCTACCTTGTGTGAGGTTCAATGAGCATCTTGGATAGATATCTTCCTATCTTTCATGATATCAGGGAAGTTTTCTGCCAACAAATCTTCAACCATTCTCTCTGTATTTTCTGTTATCCCCCCCCCCATTGTGGTACTCCAATCACTAACAGATTATTCCTCTTGATAGAGTTCCACATAATTATTAGGGTTTCTTCATTTTTTAGAATTATTTTATCTGATTTTTCCTCAAATAAGTTGGTGTCAAGTGCTTTATCTTCAATCTCACTAATTCTGACTTCCACCACCTCAATTCTGTTCCTATGACTTTCTATTGAGTTGCCTAATTCTGAAATTTTATTGTTGATCTTTTGGATTTGTTTGCTGCCTCTATTGACTCTTTCAGCCTGTCAAATCTGTCATTATGCTCTTGCATAGCCTTCTTGAGTTCTTCTATTGCTTTGTCTGTGTGTTCCTTGGCTTGCTCTGCGTTTTGAATGATCTCCTTCCTGATATCTTGAAGAGCTCTGTATATTAATCTTTTGAATTCTACCTCTGGTAATTCCAAGAAGTTCTCCTCTGGAAGATTTCTTGATTCTTTGTTTTGGGTGCTTGCTGAAGCCATCATGGTCTGCCTCTTTATGTGACTTGATATT